AGCACGAGGAAGAGGGAGAAAGGTTTTATTACGTAGAATTGGTAGTACTATCGATTAAAATCGACAGCCATGTACAACACTTTCCTATTATCGTCGAATAGAATCGACAGCACACTTTTCAACATAAAGAATAGTGGGAAATATCCCGTCCAAAATTCGTTCCAAAATTTGCCAGGATTTAAAAATAAATAAAATAATAATTGTGTCCAATATATCCACCAACGTTAATATAAAAAATTTGAAAATATTTGTGTCGGATATAACTGCCAGAGTTAGTATTAAAAATTTGAAAATAATATAATATAATCTGACACATTACTTACTAATGTCGGATATATCTGACAGAACTAGTTAAAAATATTAAAAAAATTAATCTGGTGGAGTTAAGGGCCCGCTTCATTATTGTTGTCAGAAAGTAGTGCACTAATATCGGATATAAGTGACAGGAGTACTTTGTTATCCGACACTTTTTAAAGATGTCGGAAATATTTTATCCAACAGTAATGGTATAAAATCGTCATCACTCTCCGACACATTAAGCCAGTTTTGTTATAGTGGACAAGGTTGACTCTCCCGATCTCCTCACCACAAGCTGCTTATGTTGGTGGCAGGAATTTAACAAAATTGCTTTTCCTCGCTCCTCTCGCCCCACTGCGTAGCCCCTATCTCATATTCAATGGTTTTCTGAAAGTTAATGTTGATGATGCTTGGAATGTTTCTTTGAATCAGGGGGTGGAATTGGGGTCATAATACGTGACCATCGGGGTGCATTCGTGGCGGCATTTGCTAGGAAAGTGGATAATATTTTATCTCATCTCTATAGGCGTTGGTTGCTAGGGATGGCCTTCTGTTGGCGACGCAAAGGGGCTTATTCAACTTCATTTTGGAAAGTGATTGTCTCCAGATTGTTGCTGCACTTAATGATTTTTCTACTAACTTGTCAATCAATGGACATATTATTGAAGACTTGAAGGCGATTATGGCAGCAGTCACTGGAGTGTCTTCCCTTGTTTTCGAGTAGTTTAAGAAGAAATTAAATTAGCGTGATTTGAGTTATGTTTTATTGATATTGTTCGCAACTTACACAGTTTGTGAAATTCGATTATGACCATTTAGAAAGAAAAAATTATACACATTTCACATTTTTTAGTGAGTTTACGCTATGATCTCAAAGGGGTGTCATGCGGGTCTAATCCTTGGCTCTCATACCACTAGTTAGAGATTTATATTTTTATGTTACACCCATTTTTTTCTTTAACTTTTTTTTTTTCCATCATTTTGTCTCCAACACAATTACCTTTAAACGGGTTCAGATGAGATTGAGGAACTCAATGTGACTTAAGAACATATCCCTACTTAATATGTTTTTTGCTAGACAACCACTTGAACCCAAGGTTCTAGATTCAATTCTATCGTCCTACAAGTCAACACCATTGTTGACCTCATCATTTACCGATTGATCAGACCATCAACTTAACAAAAAGTCGAAATTGATAACATTTTAAACTTAGGATTTAAGAGCGTAAAATGTTAAAATTGAAATCTCGTTACCCATTTTTGAAATTAATTAAGGTGTAAATCCTAAATTTTTATTTTTTATTTTTTTATTTTTTGTTACTTCAATGAAGTGATGTAAGATAAAAGGAATGAAGATTATTTTCAGATTCTCTTTGCGATGATGCTAGGAATCTTTTAATCATGTCCGTTCATCGTATATCGTGCGATTAAAAATTATTTTAAATTAAATATAAATAATAACTCAAGAAAATTGATCGTACGATATATGATAAACGGACACGATTTGAGGATGCGAGAGATCCTCCTGGGGATAAAAGAGTTATCGTTCAATTGTGCCAAAGGAAACATAATCGTATTTTACAGTAATCGTTTCTGGTGACTTTTTCTGAGGATAAAGTAGCGGCGGAATTTGAACCCCAAAAAGTTCAAAATTAGGGTTTAACGAGATAGGAGTCGAACTATCAGGACTAGAGCTTTGCAGTGATACCCATTGGGAGGAGGCTCTGAGTTCTGCATTCGCCATTGAGGTTCAATTTCCAAAGCAGGACTCTGGGTAAGTAAATTTTGATCTAACCATCACGCAAAAGAAACGAATTTGAATATGAAATTCTGTCGAAATTTCCTTTTACTCCCTTTCCTTTTCCTTTTATGCTTTCAAATTGCCTCTTTTGGTTCGTCGTTTCTATGATTTGTGCATAGAAGAAATCAGTTATTTTCGGTTTGTTTGTTTGTTTGTTTGGTTTACCAATTTATTTCTGTGTTTGGTTACTTGGAAAATGGAGGGAAAATCGAGAGAAAGATGATGACTTTTGGCACTTTCGGTTTTATAATCTTGTTTTCTTTCAGGTTCTGAAATGTGAAGCAAATGAACATTTGTTGTTGGGTTATTTGTTTGAAGAAAGTTAATTATTGTTGCAAGAGAATTCCGATTCGATAAGAGATAATCTCCGTCGGATAACGGTATAGGGGTTTGAGGCTGAGTGGAAATTGATAACAGTGGTAATGCTGCTATAGGATCACCTTTTTCGAGTCTGCGGTTTTCGTGTGGTGTTGTTCCTTTCTGTTTAATTGAAAGACAGTTGATGTTATCTCTTTGAAGTTGAATAATAAGCATTGTAGATGTCAGTGTGAGTAATGCTTTCTTCTTGTTCTTATATGCAGGGTTTTGATCGTAAAGATAAGTTTAAGGGTAGCGATAACTAGTTGAACTGAGCTACTTTCGAAATATTAACAGAAACCATTTTAGTCCATCTCTGTTTTTCAATAATTAAGCTTCTGAAGTTTTTCGTTTTACACCAGAAACATCCAAATAGAAAATTCAGTAGTTCTTTGCAATGAATTCTGTTTTCTCATCTCACTCTCTTTTCGTTCCTTTGCCTAGATGCCAGTTCCTACCTTGTATTCAAACACAACCTCAACATATGGTCATGAACCGTGTTTATCGCTGGAATCATTGTGTCCCTCCTCTTTCTGTTTCATTTCCTTTTATTTCACATCATTCTTTGCATACTCGCCAAACACTTTTTGGTGCCACAGCTCCATCAAATGAAGGCGTAGTCTCTGTAATCAACTTCGATGATTTTGATGAGAAAGACTGGTCCTTTCTTGATTCAGGTGATTTCAGTTCCGACCAAGATTATAACCTTAAGATTGAGCGCATTATATCTGCAGGAGAGATTGAAGAAACTTCTAGGGTTATGGTTTCAATTGGTTCTGAAGGATTTGTGGATCGGTTGGTTGAATCATCACCCTGCAGTCTCCTGCTTGTTGTCCATGATTCACTTTTTGTTTTAGCTGGCATTAAAGAAAAATATGACAAGGTTAAGTGTTGGCAAGGAGAATTGATGTATGTACCTGATAAGTGGGCGCCTTTAGATGTTGTGTTCCTTTATTGCCTTCCAGCCATGCCGTTGAAACTTGACGAAGTATTTAAAACACTTGCAAGGTGTTTTACACAAGGTGATTTTCATAATATCATCCATTTTTCTTTTTGTTCATGCTTGATATACTACTGCTTCTCAGCCTTGATGAAGTGTCATTAATTGCCATAGACTCTTCCTCGCATGTCATTCAGGGCTCACCCTGAAAATATACATATTTGCCTGTCTGAATCCATAAATTGAGTGTTTCGTGTTAAAATTAGTAAGTAGAAAATATTTTCGAGAGTGATAAATCTAACATTAGCTGTTAAATTCTTTCAAAATATCACTCTTGATTCTGAGTTGTGGCTGTTTGTTGTATAGGTGCGAGACTGGTTATTAGCCATCCCCAAGGAAGAGAAGTTTCGGAGCAGCAACAACGACAGTATCCAGATGTTGTAACGTCTGACCTGCCTGAGAAGAGTACTTTAGAGGAAGCGGCAGCCGAACATTCTTTCGAATTAACCGAATATGTTGATGAACCTTGTTTTTATCTTGCTGTATTAAAGTTTGTTGGGGCAAGAAACTGATGGTTGATTTAAACTTTGACAATTTCATGTGCAAGAAACAGTGGATTCAATTGAAAATTTATAGATTCACACATCGTTTTATTTTTGCAGACTGGTTCTTTTGCCCTACTCCCTGCGTTATGTTTCTTTTCGGCCATTGAACCCTCGTGCCGTGCTGAGCAAGTTAGGTAGCTTTCGCTTACCTCTGTTCAAAAATTGGACTCTCGTTGAAGGTCATTGAACTTGTTTAGTCCTATATTTTTTAGTAATGCTATTCATACCATAATTTTGTACCACATTTTCATATCACCTTAAGCGATATTTGATGCGGACAGCCACACCATTTGAATTAATCAAAATTTTAAATTTAGTTTATTATTTAATAAACTAATGATTAAGAAAAACTAGTTAATTAAATGATATTGTGGTATACAAGGAGTCTTTCTCCTTCATTTCCTTGGGTTTTGCAAATTTTTCAAATGGTATGAATAGCATTACTCGATATTTTTTCTAACTTATGTGCCATGACTTACTAAACTTCGAACTTGGAATGAGCATGTAGGAATTAACGATACTTTTCATCGTTTGAGTTGTTTGCCAGATTGGTTGCTCAAAAAGTTTGGGTTTCTAATCCAACCCAAACTTTGGTTTCTAATCCAACCCAATTTTAGGTTACCTATTGTGTGGCTTAGCCGAACTCCTCCTCCCTTTAGTGTAAAAATATTGATGTACTAAAAAAAACAAAAAAAAAACCGATTAGAAGTAGAAGGTGCTCCGACACAATCCTTCCGAAACAAAAAACGGATTGCAATTAGTTTGATAATGATCGAGTGACGGTACTTCTTTGGCCCGACCAAGGAATCCTTGTATAAGAGGCAGAAGTAATTGTGTACTATTGTCGACCAAAGATTTCTCCATGAACAATGGGAATTGGAGTTTAAGTTTGAAGGTGAAGAAGTCCTTGACCAACAACCAATAGAGGAAGATTTATTGAGTCACAGATGGTAAACAAAATTTCAAGCCATCAAAATTTGATGGGAAAACTCAAAAGATGTGCACTCAAGCCATAACACATAAATTCCTCATCATATAAGCTCCATTATTTTCATCATCCCAGAAAATTCTTTTAATAAAATGCTTTAGGAGGTTCAAAATCCTAAAACAAGCTCTAAAATACAAGAGTAAACTTCCATAACAACAAATTCTTCATTAATTAAAAAAAAAAACGAAAAAGAAAACTCTTCAAACATTGACGCACTCTTCCAACCTTTTTCTCTCTACTATATAGGAAAAACAAAAATCAATGGGGCAAATCGAAAAACGCAAAACTATTGAGCTAAAAATTGGAATTTTTCAAAGGAAGATTATTGAGTACCGAGTACCACAAACCTTCATCTCGATATAAGAAGATAGGGACTGCATATTCCTCAACAGCCGCCTCACACCTTCTTACCTCAGAAGAATTGAAACCTTATGCCATTACTTGCTGCAAACAGGTTGTATTCTTCAATGGTAGCCTCCTTGTAACACGCCTGATCATTCTCAACATGATCCGAACATTTTAAGGGAGAATCCGTAACGGTCTGTTCTTTCGAAGGCATATATCCTGGTGGATTAGCAACAGGGCCACCATAATGGAATAAGGAAAAGCCATCATTGTTCGTATGCAATTTTCCAGAATTATCATCGTGCGCTCTTTCTCCAGTTGGTGGTGCTTGCCTTGAATGCGCTCCAGATGGATCCACACTCTCTGTACTAGCTTCTTTAGGATAGTCTTGCATACACGGGGTAGATATCTGAGCGGGCTCCTCTCTGTTGATGACTGGCTGATAAATTGGAACGGGGCCAGGGGTAAACAAGGGAGGTACGTGCTGCACAGGATACTGCATGCAGAAGCCTGAATTTCCATTCATACCATACCCAAGAGGACCAGCATATAAGTAATGGTTCGGAAATGTTAGCATTCCATTTGCTGGAGCAGCAGGCCAAGAAACTGGACTTTGGTGAAAGTAACCCATTGTTGAAGGACCTTGAAACACGGGAAACTGTACATTTTGGTTATGCATCGGAGGAAGCATGCCATGATGCTGTGAACCCACATTAACAGCAGACAAACCATTATCAAAACTCTGAGCAATTTTTGTTGATGGATTCCCCAAAATGTTACTCCCTGCTCCACTCAGTGAAGGACCAATCGGTGTCCTGCTTTCGATAGACTCTCCTTTTGCACTCTGATTATTCTCCATACCAACTTCATGGTCTCGGAAACCATTTGGAATGAATATAGAAGTTTCCTTTCCTCCTGATTGCTGGCTGGCATCTTCTGAATCTGATGTGGATGAAGATTCCTGATGTCCATGATTTGACGAGGTTGTATTGCTATCTCCCTCACTTAGGCATGACGAGCAGTTATCGGAATTAGAAGTACTGCTGACAGTGGGGTCAGAAGTTCCTTTTGATGTAGAGTCAATGGAATTAAGTACAGAACCGATAGGGCATAATCCAATCTCCTCATAAGTGGCTTTTGTTGAGTTGCAAGAATCCTGTGCTCCTGCATGAAATCCACTCTGACAGTTGACATCCATTCCTGTGCTGGATTTTCTTGATTCCTTCAAGTTATTATCCACATCAATCTCACCAGCATCTACCCCATCTTCACCTGTACATATATCACCAGGTGACTTCACGATTTTATCTTCATCCTTGAAAGCAGATGACCTCAAGGTAACATCGGAGTCTGAGTTACTTCTAGGATACATGGGCTCCCAAATTTTCTTGGGATGAACCAAATCTCTACTAGGATTGTCCCCATAATTGACTTTGCTTTTGGGTCTTACACAACTATCACGCAAGTCTCCTACTTGGTTATACCTGTTACCACGATAGAATTGCTTGGACATATCTAATGCAGATTCTGACTTACTTGCAGTTTTAGTATCCCATCCCAATCTGGCAGCAGAAACATGGGGCTCTACCTTTGCTCTATATTCAGTGTTTTTGTTACAGCTGCAAGAATTGAAGTCGTATCTGTCACCCATCCTGTTACTTGGGGAGAGAAACTTCTCAGTAAACTTAGGACCACTATGTCGACCATTGGACTTCGGGCCATTCACTCTTAATTGCCTATTTGATCCATTGATGACCCTTGATGGAGTCTCAAAATTATCAGCATTACATCTCGACTCAGATCTACTAACCACAGAAGCACAGTCTGAAACAGCAGCATATCTGCGTCGGTCAGACCACTTCAAAGATGCATCTAGTTGAGCTTCTCTCCTATATTTTAATCTCCGTCGTGAAAACTTTGATTGCTCAACTGTAAAAGAACCACTATCACCTCTTCCATTGGTGATTTCACCATCAGGACTATCATAACAGTGGTCTTCACTTTTTGAAATGATAAAATCTTTTTGGAACTGTTCATCACGTGTCTCAGGAGATCCAGGCCTAGATAGAATCTGATCATCAGCTTCAATAACTGAATCCTTGCAGCTAATGGAACTATTAGGCTCCTCATCAGCATGTAGTGATGATTCTTCCTTTGAGACAACATCAAGAGCAGGAATGTCATTTACTTCAGAACATTCCATATCTTTGTCTTTTTCTTTCCCTTTCAACCTCTCCTTTCTTCGCAACTTTTTCTCTCTTTCTTTTGTTCTTCTCCTCTCTTTGCGCTCTTCTTCTTCACGCTTTTCTTTTTCTTCCTCTTCTAGAAGCTTCATCTGTAGAGAAAAGGTGCAAAGTCATCAGAAGTGTTTCTCCTAAAACGCAAAATGGCTCCTCATTTTTCTACCCAGAATGTTATCTTTGAATATATAACAAGATTTTTACAGCCCGAAATGTAACAAGATTTAAGACCTGCTTTTCAAGAGTAATTATATCTTTGCAGGCAACATGAACTCGCTCTTCCAGCAGTTTTAGTGCAAGACAAACAAAGATGCTATGTGCATTTTGACGAGCAGTTCCTTCTCTAAATGCTTTTTCCACCTGAAAGATTGGCATTCACAATCAGACACAGAATACGTATATTACAGTCACACACAACATGCATACTAAGAAATCTGCCAGCAATGCAAGCACACACACATAGTGAGTAGTTTTACAGCATCATGCCAACATAACTCCGAACTCCAAAAATCTAAGCATCTCTGCTATGAAGACATTGTGTGCAACATGCAGCCACACTCATTTTCTTTTGCTTTTTTTCCTCATTTTGGCTAAGACTACAACCTAACATTGAATCGTTAACCCTCTCCCCACCGTAGTTTCTCCAAGGAAAACGCAACTTTTAAATACCATTTCCCCAATAGTTAAATAAAAAGGTTTAAATAGTAAGAATACCGAACTATTATGATTGCATTCCCTAGGCACCATTGACAACACCACTATTTGACATCATTCCTAGCATAGAAAATATAATTTATCTCTCTTACTTTCCAAATTGCACCCCGATGTCTTATAGACTGAATTGTATACTACCTAACTGAGGTTTAAGAATACAATATGGTATATGAAGGATCTTCATTTATGTTAACACAGGTAAACAAACAAAGGAGCTGAGTTTATATAATGAACAACGATAAACTTAACACACAACATCAGCAGACTGAACATGCCTGTTCCTTGAAAATAACAGTTGCAGCATCTAGTAGAAATTCTCGAGCAAGTTCAGGACTCTTCGCATGTTTTTGCGGACGGGAGCATTCTCCATCCAGTTCATTTCCATCTTTGTCCATGGAATCATCATCCTGAAAAACACATTAAATAACAACACTTCTTTAGAACACTTCTTTAGGTCTAACCCCGTAAGATAAAATATAAATCTCAACTGCCTCTGGAGAACTGAGAACATAAATAATAACACTAAGCCTTTAGGGATCTTAACTACCTCTTCTTCCTCTGCCTCTTCAGCATGCTCAAAAAATCTTCTAATACTTTCTCCTCTTGTGATTGTTACATAGCCGTCTCCGACAATAAGCCTACAGTGAACACATTCTTGACCCTTCAATGCATGAGCTTTTACAGAAAGCTCGGTGCAACGGCCATCTAGTTTCCAAGCCCTCAGGGTAATGTAGCATGCACTTAAACCACCGAGATCTAGACCATTGACCTTCACACTCCCATTCATGCCAACATTTTCAAATTCCAGAATGTCTGATTTTCCCTCGCCTGTTCCAACTGCCCACTCAAAATGATGGTATGTACCAACAGTGTCAGCAAAAGTATGGCGCCAATCAGCTTGTACTGTGGCATCAGATACCTGTAATGACAGCTAAAAAGAGATCAAAATGCCAGTCACATCATCCGTACTTATCAAAAATTAAAGTGGTTCAACTATCAAAAATTAATTCTCTCACTAGTCTGCTCTTGAAAAACTTGGAGAACACAAAAATCACAACAAAAATCAGAGAAAAGAACAAAATTAAAGAAACATATGAGGCCACACCTCATACTGAAATGCGGTGTCTGCAACACAAAACCAATTAGTGCAGCGAGGTTCCCTCCTCAAGCGCTTCAGCTCCTTTAGCTCCTTGAACTCACGAATCACATTCCTTCTGCAATCTCTGCAAAATCTCTTGCTATCAAACCTGTGACAGGAACATCAAAATCTTAAGACAACCCAGAATAAAAGTAAATGATGAGGACTTTTAGGATATCCAAACTTAAGGAAGTAATTGCTGCAAACATAACTCTTGACTAGGCAATTTTAGAGGACCAAATAACGTATAACTGCATGCTATATACAAAACGGCCAGATGTTGCAACATGAAAAGCCACTGGTAGATTAATCTTTCACGCTATTTACTTTTTATTCACCTGCACATATGTTTTGGTGAGGATTTTCAAATACCGTCATAATAGTTACTATGCGCATGAACCCAAATTCAAATGTAATTCAAAGAAAAGAGTATGTTTCAGGCCTATGTAAAGCCTTCAAGGATGCGTCGGCTAATGATGGGCAGCTATTGTACCAAGTGAACCTACTTTTCTCTTCCCTATTAGCTTCACCAGGCTGAACATCCTCAATATCATTACTAATCTTGCAGTTCTAATAACCAAAACTTCCTCCACAAACCATAACTAAACATACAGCGCTTCTCTCAACCAGAAAGAAGAAATACATCACTTCCACTATTTTATATTGAATCTCTTGAGAAGGGGATACATGAATAGCTAAACACCTGTACATGAGCCTCTCAATAAAATCCTCTTCCTTCATCCTAAGAAGGGACTGTCGAGTTTCTTCTCCAAGTGCTGACCAGAAATCAACCAATGTATCGCAAGAAAGCCTAGCAGTGTGCAATGCACAAGTTTCTCTTGTTCCATGTCCTCTGCCATAACTTGCCATTCCTTGGCTTATCCAACCCCGACCTCCCCCGCCACATGCATCAGGATAAAGCAACTCACGTTCTCGTTCTCTTGCACGTGCACTGTCAAATACCTAATTCAAAAAAAAAAAAAAAAAAAAAAATCAGCTACTAGAATGAAATTGGCTTGTACACCAAAGTCATGAAATAATAAAATTATAACTTACATTTTGAAGTCCCTTGAGAGACTTACAATACAAATAGCAATCAATCAGCGTCAACGACCCCTCACGCGTTATGGTTAGACCACCCCAAGGATGGACAGATGGATCTGGTATTTCGTCATGGCACCCATTAGTAATACTTGATCCACCATCGTTTTGATTTTTGGAGGCCCTTGACCTGTTGCAGGATAGTTGCTCACATGTTCCCTCCTGCTTCAAAGACTTGCCATACATGACAATCTGAAAAAAACCTTCAAGCAGTAACCCATTGCATCTAGAGCAGTACATATTCTTCCGAGCTTGTTCGAAAAGGGTTTGCTTGTCAATCCTGAGAAGCTTCTGTCGAGCTTGTGGTGATAGATCACTCCAAAACTACATCAAAGGTATATAGAACTTCATATGAGACTTGTCAGACATCAATGAGTTAAAGAAACCGAATAATTATAGGTTATTATACAATCCATAAATTCCCAAATACGTATTACTACAAGGAACTTCTTATTTAATCCCAACTGCAAACACCATCAAACCAACCACAGTTTTAGGATCAGTAACTGGGAAATGATATCATTTATCAAGAAACAATGGATGCAACTTTTCTACCTGCAACGTGCTTGCGTCGATGAAAGAGTCTACATGTGTAAGTCTGTGAATACGTTCTATGTCCAAGCCCGTAAGCGTTACTAACTTACTATAAACTAAGCAATAAAGGTGCACTAAACTTGGTATAACCAGACAGCTTCATTCAGATATCGCGCCTGGATAATACAAAAACATAAAATTTCTTTCTTTTGTACATACTTTTCTTCCGTTACCACGCATGTGAAGAGCCATTTGGAAACAAAAACATAATGAGAAACATTCTCCAATAACGGTACACATTACGCAATTATTAACTCAATTACATAATTACAAGATTATATTCTCACTACGGACATATATATACACACACAAACAAGTAAAGTGGATCTCATTAACAAAACACCGATATTCCGACGAAAATCAGCCCCCCAATGAACAATCAAACAAGTACAAATAGTACAAGATCCAATTCAAACGCAAAACACCCATTTAATTCGTTGATCAAACACAATATGAAAAGTAATCCAAATTAATCTCAACCCAAATTTAAAGAAAAAATCGAATAAATTAAAAAAAAATAGGGTACCCTCTGGAGCTGATTGTAGCTAACATCGTCACGATGCTTGGACCAAAATCCGTTGGGCGAAGATAGTGAGTAAATGGGCGACAACCCATTACTGAATTGGTCATTTCTCTGAGCTAAACCGGGCATATTTGGTTCAAGCACTCATAGAATTCTCATTCACCGGCTCTTCCCATCCCAGGCAAGCGTTCGCCGTCCGATTCGGATCCAATCCGATCAAAAATCAAGCATTTAATGAATAAAACAAACGACAATTAATCTGGGGATTATAGATCGAGGAGTGGACGGTTCTCGGATCGAAATGAATTGCGTCGGAGGTGAATCGGATTGGGATGGTGGGTTGAATTGAATTGGATTGGATTGGATTGCAGGGGTGAGAAGTGAGAAGGGATTCAGAGAGAAAGGGCGATGCAATGGGGGTTTTGGTTGAGGACGATGAGATTTGGTGATGCGCATATATTTGGAGAGAGGAGAGGGACAAGGGAAGGCTTTGGTAATGGTAACTTGGTTACCCCTACGAGAGGCGCGGTTAAAACGAAATGAGCCAGAGAGAGAGAGAGAGAGAGAGAGGGAAATACTGTTTTACGTTACAAATTAACAGGATTAAAATTCCAAGGTAAAATAATTTCATAATTTGATACTTTCCTTTCAATCATCTGTCTGAATAAATTTATATACATTTTTTTTTGGAGAAGATATAATATAGTTCTATTTTTTTCTGCTTTAGGTATTTAATTTTCATAATTGGACGATATTTGTATAGTATACATATAGGGCGGGTTTATGTAGCGAAAATTTGCGATAATAAACCGTAGGTAATCAGTTACTGTTTTCACTCTTCTTTGTATAACTTTATAAGAAAACCTGAATCAGAAATTGATTGGAAGCAATTACAATGAATAAGTTGAGTTTGATTGCCCCCCAATATTCTAGTGTTTCTATTCTTTTCAAATATGAATACATACATGATAGGTTTATTTAGCGGGAATACACGCCAAAAAAAGGTAGGTAATTAGTTACTGTTTCCACCGTTCTTTGATATTTTCCTATAAATAATGTGATTCAAAACTTGATTGGAAACAATTACGATTAATAACTTGAATTCAAGTAGTTTAGTATTTCTATTCCTTTTTGTACATGAAATTCATATAGGGTGGGCAAGGATACGCACCTAGAACTAATACGTAATCAATTACTGTTTGCTTTCTTTGTTATCTTTTCTATAAGAAAATACGAATATTGGGCATGGGTTCTACAAACCCCACTTCTCTCTCGCTAGCCCGCAGGCCAACCGATCAAAATAATAATTTTTTTTTTTTACATAAAGCTACATATTTTTGGGGTTGTTCTCTAAAACTTTCACACAAAGCATTCGAAGCTACCCACTATCATTATATTTGTTTTCAATTGCTTCTGTCTTTTATATATTGCATTTTTTGCAGTTATTATGAACCTGAAGTTTCGGAAAAATGTCATAGAAACCTAAAGTTTCTTAACACGCACCACTCATGTTGAGACCCGAAAATTCTCCATGATTAATTAGTTTAAATCAAACCATGTCTTAGAACCTGAATGTTTTAACTTTGGTGCTTATGGAGATTTTATTTCCTACAGCACCAATCATAATATTGTTTCCTCCATTTAGCGATTTGTCGAACTACATTTCACTGACTTGGACGTTTTGAACAAAAACTATTTTATCTGAACACCAGATGTGACACTCTGCTTGATTACAAAAAGCTACAAAACCATTAATTGTAGGCAACTATGGTGTGGAAGACCTCAATAAGCCTCCGCCATGATATTCATTCGAAGACTTTTGCTTAAAGCATTACACAGGGAAGTACCTCACTAATAAGGATTCCCTGGCCCTTTGACTCGCTTTTACGGACCGTTTCAATCATGCAAAAACGATATCTTGCTTGAAGCAAGACATTATTAAAATCTTTATGTCCATGAATAGGTAAAATTTTGAAGTTTATATCCGATTGAATTTTGACTGGAGAAGATTTTTCTCGTCCTTCGATGTCTAACTTGCTCTTGTAGCAGCAGTGTAGAGAGCAGAAGTTTCCAAATTCTCGAATCTAATTACTACCACAAATGTGAGAGAAAGGTACCCAGTGATTCCGCTAGAATGCACCGAATGGTAAAGATTCAATTTTGGCTAGAGTCTACCGAATGGTTAGGCAGGGATGCACCAAAAGCATACTTTGCTTCGCTAGAGATGCACCGAACAACAGCTCCACCTTCAGCTAGAACCTTCCAAGCCTAAGTATGGGTCTGTCCGTCTCTCTCTTACAACCACTTTTGAGCTTGTTTCACAACATATGGTAGAATCAAGCCTGTTATGGGCTGACAATATAGCCAGAAGTGTGATCCTTGGCACCTAAGACCTAAAACTTCAAAAATAATGGACAGTCTTCCCAAAACCTGCAAAATCTACTTCTGCTCTGATGGAATATATCATTGGTTATACACTTGTTTGTGCTCCTACCAATATTGTTGAGGAGTATCATTCCCGTAGTCAATCCATTATACTAATTTTACTCCACCTAACACATTTTGAAGAGCAAATTTTTGACATGGAAGGCCACATTGGCCAAACTCCCTAGTAGATTTGGATTACTTTGTGAACAATATCCTATGTTCCTGGATTTACGTTTGGTGTTTGGATAACATTATTATTCTTGAATACGAGTTAATTGATGAAAGTTAATATATGTGACGATTTCAATTAAGTCATGCTTAGGTATGTTTTGTGGGGGAGCTAGCTGTGTGGTTCTATATGCTAACTTCATACCTAGTCATCCCCTAACAACCCTTTTAGGCTTATCCAACCTAATTGTGGGGCATGTCACTGCCCTATGTTGTCAATGATACTAATGTTACCTAGTGTTTTGAAAAACAGTATAGGCAATGGAGTTAACCCTGAACATTTCATACAAATACTCTGGAAGAAATGTTGGTGTAAACATTTACATAAGTAAATAGTATTTTAGAAGAAAGGTAATCAAGTGATCATTAAATATGAGATATATCCCGAAAAGTAGTCAACAATATGAAAAACACATCAATTAAAGAGGTCTTTTTTTTTACAAGAAACGATAGCGTAGTGTTTCATTAGTCAACACAAACATTTACAAAGGTGTCATTGGGTACATAGCTCTAGTGACCAATAAATTGATCTGGAGTGAATTTGCATAGACAAACAAATAAGAGTAAACCCCTAGTAGACAACCACAAGCACAAACACACAATCGCCAAGCACACAAGTGCTACCAGTATAGATTTGTCACAATAAATGATAACCGCAATAGAGAAATAAAAGTAGCTACAATAGTCATCATTGAATAGCGAGGCCACATAAAGTCATCGCGTTAGAGCAAGACCACATGAAGTCATCGTTGACAAACGAGATTACATCACACATCGCACAAAGGTGAAGACCAATCTAGCCAAAACAACAGCGCCACCACGGTGCACATAAGGCGAGTGAAACACAACTAGACTACGCCGAGGAAGGATCCGCTGATCAACTCATCACAGTAGGGGACGAGGCACTCAAGCCCAAGCTACCTACAAATACACCGAACAGTGGGGTACCGGCATCCACACATCGAAAATCATAAAAGCAGCCACAACAGACAGTGGAGCCACCAGGTCCAAGACACAAAAGTCAAGTCGCACCGAGACATACAAGCCAAGCTGCCACATTAAGCCGAGCCGTCATATCTGAGTGCACAAGTTAATGCATCCACCCAAACCAGGCAAGGAAGATGACATCACCATGGAAACGAGATGACGAAGGTGGATCCAACCCACTTGCAGCACAAATCCAAACCCCAAATCAAGAAAACGAGCACCAAATCAAAGAAAATCTTGAAAGAACATGGCCTAGGTCAGTGTACAGGGCATAAATCCATGGAAATCTGCATCCAAAATGGTGGGAAAGAAGCACGAGAGGGGAGAAAAGGTAGGTAATGGTCGGGAAAGAGTGGTCGGCGTGAGGTTGGGGGGGGGGAGGGGGAAGTCGTGCATGGCGAGGGGGGAGAATGCTTGGATGGGGAAGAGGGGGAAGAAGAAGGGAGGAAGGGCTAGGAGAAGAAAGGGAGAGGCTGCCACCGACCCCAGCCGGGCAGCGACGATGGAGGTAGACAGCTAGGGTTTGGTTGAGAGAGAGGTTATAAATATGTGATTAGTAATCCTTTCTGACTCGGCATAACCCGGTCGCCTTATGCGACTGGCGCTTACCAAAGGCTGCTTTCAGTTGTTTTCATAAGGGATGTTCACTACAAGCTATCAATCATTAAATATGAGATTCATCTCAGAATAGTAATCAACAATATGAAATACATATCAATTAAGAGAGAGTATAAAGATGTGATTGGTAAATGTGGTATAGCTTTACAAGTTTGTGTGGAAATATAAAATCAGTCCAGGAGTCCTTGCTACACAAATCACGGCGAGGACGACTCCCAATGAGTCCAAAGATTCACTCGACGCGGACCACACGCCATATCAATCGCACACGAAACCCATTATAATGGACCCGGCGTAGCAGCTCAATGGCTAAGTGGCTAAAGCCAGGCACCCGTTGTCATTACTCAATTGCCTGCCATAACCTCTGTTATCTTCTCCATTTTAGAGGAGTGCCTCCTACATGGACTCAGCGCCTGCTACATGTCATCTGCAACTACCTTGCATATCACGTCTAGTTCTCTACTATAGCTAGCCTCACTTTGCTCTCAACAGGGTAAGTTTATTTTAACGTCAAACTTATGCCACAAACTCAAATAATTGTACTCAAGTGTTGATTGCACGCAACAAACACAAACCGACTTGGGCTGAGGAGGCCCTCCCAATAACATTGCTTTTTGGTTGCAGATTTTCCCAACCAAATCACACGTCTCATTCAAGCAGATCGCCCTGTGGCAGATATTTCCATCCACAGTTTGTATAAGTGTAAACGGTCTATTTGTTTGATCTGAATCGTAGTTTCTAAACCTTTTCAATTCAAGTGACAAGAGAGTTAAAAGAGAAAAAGGAAATACAAAAAAGTTGATCAAACTAGAGAATCACCATTCCATCTGCCAAATGCAAATATCTTACACCGGGCACTGAATCAGATAAACGACAATCAATTCAGTGGAGCATAATGCGGGAATAGGATTACAAAAAAGAAAGATACGTTACAAAGCACACGTACACAAGACAAGTTGCTGATTCTGCATGCATGCATGCGGCACTAGAGTATATATGTCTAAGCATTTGTCTCTGGGCCTGCAGGTTTTGCGTTTAGCAGTGGCTGTAGAGCCTTCACAACGATCGTCATGTTTGGCCTGAAGTCAGCTTCATATTGAACACAAAGTGCTGCTACTGCTGCCAACTGAGACATTGCATGAAAACCAAAATTTAGATATTAACTAATCAAGGTGAAGCCTAATGTTTGCCTGCCATATTGAAACAACGAAACAAGGGTTTCCAATCAAATCATTTAGCTATAGTGTGGTATAATATGATTAGTCACGGGTCCACGCCCATTGATGGCTAACAATCACCAATGGGCGTGTGAGCTACCATCTTAGCTTTCTTCTAGAGAAACTAGCTGACATTCACTCTTAGTCTGTCAATCAGGAAATTTACCCCTTCCAGTCCTCCATTTTTTTTCTTAATGTCTAATCCCTTACGATCCTCTAAGTCATTAGCCGCTATCTTTGATATACCTTTTATTTTATGAATTACTCATTCCAATTCTAGGAGCATCAAATGAGGCCTATAACTATTTTGAGATTACGAGGTTTAGTCATTTTTGTTTCATGGGATTCCTAGATTGAATTGGGAGCCTGGGAGATAAGGAAATATGTTTGATTCTCAGAAAGAACGGTGGTGAGGGAGGGTAGCATTGTCATATTGAAAATTTTATTAATGGCTATTGTTCATCCGTGTTTTGGTAAAAAAAAGTGGGTTATTTTAAGGGGTGTGATATCCACGCATCCCATTTTACTTCTCATACACCCTTTTAATTTTCGGCCGTCGGATTGGATGAATTGAAGAAGATCAACGAACAGAAATTAACAAGAGGTGTGTGAAAAGTAATTTGGGGTGTATGGATAGCACACCCTTATTTTAAAAGCAGCTCTCAGCTGCTTCCACTTTTCTGCTTTGAATGAGATTGAGTTACCAAACACAAATTGGAGCCCAACTTTTCTTCACTCCTGCTTATAAAAAAAGCTAAACAATCCGAAACCAGTACTTACTATACCTTGAATTTTATAAGTTGTCTATTCCAATTCTAAGCACGAAATGAGTCCTATAACCATTTTGAGATTGTGAGATTTGGTCATTTTTGTTTCATGGGATTCCCAGAGTGTTCATAGTAATTGAGTTTGTTAAGAGAAAGGATTCCAAAGCAAACCTTAGCAATTGCCTTTGGTGGGTAGTCATTGTTTAGCTTGGGATCAACACACTGCTTCACTTTATCCTCACTCAGTCTTGGAGTTGCCTGTATGTTTAAATTGTCTGTATTCAGAAAAGCACTGCTAAAAGCAAGTTAGAAAGTCTGAGAAATATGTGTACCCAAGTAACAAGACTTTGTTGCCCCTTTGGCATTGTATGGTCTACTGGCTTTCTTCCTGTCAAAAGCTCTAGTAAAACAACTCCAAAACTGTAAACATCACTTTTCTGAGTAATTTGCCCGGTCATCGCATACCTGAATAAAAAACAAAAATAAAAGCAACGATTTTATAAATGGATAATGCTTGCGATAATGCTTGCATTCCCCTAGTTCATTCTCCCTATACAAATAATGTTATTTTACAGTTAATTCTCTTAATCTTCATTTGAAGATCATTCCTACAAAATGTCATTTGAATTTGAGATTTTTTTAGTCATCTAAATATATCAAACAAATTAACGATTCATTATCTACATTGTTGATTTATTCTGATACATTTTAGATGACTAATTAAACAATGTCCTATGCGAATGATATTTTGTAAAGATGATCTTCAAATGGATATTAAGAAACTAAGCAGTTCCAAATATAAAATTTGAACAGTGAATAACGTATTTGCAAGTGGAGAAATGAGTTCATCCCGAAGGGCAAATACAAGTATTATCCCTTTTATAAATAAAGGAGGAAATTACAATGTGAACACAGGGAGAAAACATTATGCATAATGGCAGAAAACAATGGTAAAGTTAGTGTAGAGAAGATTATATTATATACTAAAAATGTTTTCTTGCCAATTGTCAGATTCACAATTTGACAACATAAGTTTAGGAAGATAATATAATACCTTAATTATAACTAAACCTTAATATGCTGATGTGCATCACTTTATAACCATTATAGGGGACGCAATACATCAAACTCAAGCTAATGAACAACTTCTAAGCTAGTAGTTAATATTCTTTTAGATTAGTAAAATCAAATCAAACATTCAGAAAACAAGAACCGAGGCTTACTCAGGAGCATGATAGCCAAACGTTCCCAACACTCTAGTCGAATGCAGTCGCGCGGCCGTGTCCGATGACTGATTTGACAAGTTGAAGTCCGCAATTTTGGCAACATGGTCATCAAAGAGCAGGACATTGCTGGATCTCACGTCGCGGTGAACAATTGAAGGTTGAACCTTTTCATGGAGATACTCAAGGCCTTTGGCTGCACCATAGGCAATTTTAATTCTCTGATTCCAACAAAGAACTGGACCCGGTTCAGCCCCTTGTACTCCTTTTCTTCCTGCAGCAGAATTAACAAGTAAAAAAATTGTAGAAACAAACACAAAAGCAGATGATGTAAATAAGCATACCATGCAATATGTCATGTAAAGATCCCATGGCTGCAAACTCATATATCAAAATTCGGTTATTTGCCTCCAAGCAATACCCCATCAACTCCACAAAATGCTCATGCTTGAGTCTTGAAACTGTTGATAACTGCACAAGATTGATCCAGCATTTTAAGTAAAGAGTGCAACATTGTCTTTGTCGAAAAACAGAAGGTCCCAAATCTTACTTGTGCTGAAAAGTCAGAGTCCGGCTCTTGAGATGTACCCGTATCCATTTTCTTTATAGCAGCAGCCTTACCATTACTCAGTTTTGCATGGAAAACCCGGCCATAAGAACCTTCTCCTATCAAAGCCTTCGGACCAAAGTTACCCGTTAACCTATTTAGTTCATCCAAAGACATAGATGGTATTTCAATCGGTAAGACCTTCTGTGGAGCTCCGCTTTTGACCGCATTGGAACCCCTTGGCTCTCCTCTGTCATTGCCTGTAACACAATGCAATGGTTTGTAATGCTTCACGAGGTGCATACTGGTTTGTGACACAAGTATGCATATGCATGAAGGTCGAAAAATATGTATGACATATGGATAATTAAATTGACTTTGTTAGCTTGATACAATGTCAACCGATTATCTAATCAACAACTTAATATTCGACAAGGTCATGTAGTCATTGTCTAACATGGTATCAGAGCTCTCGTTTCAATAGGTTCTCAATATAAAACCTCCACCCTGATTCTCTATATGTTCTCAATAGCTTGATACATTGTCGACCGATCATCTAATTAACAGTTTAACCTTTGATAAGGTCATGTAATCATTGTCTGACATGGTTTCATAGCTCTCGTTTCAATGGGGTTCTCAATAAGAAACCTCCAAACTAATTCCACACAATATTTACTCCAGTTATATTAGATTTTGCCTGCCCTCATTCACCACCTGGACTAACCCAAAACCACTTATTTGGTAATCCGTGAGATGAAATTTTCCTACATCGTGTGCCTTCATCTGAATGGTTATCCATTCCTATCGAATCCTAAAGGCCTCGCGAGGCCTTACTTCTACGGGCGAGCAATTGTCTAATAGACTTAAGCTAAGAAGTTTGACAACCAAACTCATGCTAATACAGCTGCTCATACTGAGATGCCTCAATAATTAGCAGTAAGGAGATGCATTTTTGCTAAAGAAATGGTTTTTGACTTGATCTAGAAAACAAGTTAAGAGAACACTGTTTAATTATAACTTGAAATTTGAATGAAATTGTCCTCTAATAATTACCACCAACACAATGGTCCTCATAAATCTCAATATATAGCAAATGATTAGAAATTAAGAAAGATTAAAAAAATACCTCCTCCTCCTCCTCCTCCATATGTATTCCCACCTCTGGGCGGGGCGGTGTATTGATTAGCAGGTGGGCCGAAGTTTTCCTCCTCCGCACCCCCGCAGCAGCTCATTTTTCAAGTTGTGGTGGCACAGCAAGATTAACAAACCATGTATCACCACAATTGCTAATATTCTACACAATTAATTTTATTCACCGACAAAAATATTTCGGAATAAAATTATTTCTGCAATTCCAAAAAAAACCACATCAATTTATAATCAACAACAAACAAAAATGAAAATTCAACCTTCAAATTGCATCCTATATGTTTCATTTTTGTCCGAAATTCATAAATTAATAAAAATACAAATCAAACAGAAGAGCAATAAATTAAGATCTATCTGGTTTCTGGGTAAGCGAAGTAGAAAAATGAAAACCACATAAGGATGCATACCCTCTTGTTAAAATTAAATAATAAATATATAAATCAACCGCTTAGAATAAATCAAAAAAGCAAAGTGGTCAGTTTTTATGGAAAAAAGAACGGAAATGTGATACAAGTTGAAGAAACGCAGGTCGAAGAATGATGAAATGAAAACTGACCGGAGAATTTAAAGAATGGTGAGGAACCAGAGGAGGGACAGAGAAGAAACGGAGGAAGAAAACAGCAATGTTTGATAAATGTTTGTGCAGATTTGTTTGTGATGGATGAGCTCTCTGTTTTGGGACGACCGGACGAGAGAGAGGGCACGTCGTGCTTCTATATTTCGCGGGAAACTCGGGCCTAAAACAAACCCTACTTCGTCTACGTTCACATGTCACCACGTTGCACGTCCTCTTTCTACTTGCTATTTCCTCATATCATGCATCATGCATGCATGATGTTTATGGTAATCCAACGCCCAAAGCTTCACCAGACAAATTGATTAATATTATCTATTTCTTGTCTGTTCTGTTATTGTTATTTTTTTTTTTAAATGAGGAGAGAGAGGGAGGGAAAGAGAGAACGTGGAAATGGTGATAAGTTTTTGTTTTTGTTTTTAAAATTAGAGATTTGTTAGGGTCATATATAGGTGATGTATTTAAAAAAATGTAAAATTTAGTTTGTGCAAAATTACTCTATCATTCCTAATTTTATTTTGTAATAGAAGACAAAAATATATTTTTTTCACCTTCTTTTAGTTGACAAAGAGATTTGAACCAAAAAAAATATTAACAATTCTTTTTGGGGTACAATGAGGGTTTTCTTAATAATAGTATAGATATGTTTACTTAATAGGAATGTGAAAATAAACGAATTAGAGTAATAGAGAAAGTAAGGGAAGGGAATCAGAACCCATGGTTTCTTAGTTGATCTGATTCCTAATTTTCAGGTATTTGATTACAAATTTAAGGGTAAATCGTACTTTTCCGATTTCAAATATTGGCGAAAGTTAGGATATGAAGTGATATTCATACGCATATTTCAATAACTTTAAGAAACTCAAGAATTATATTTAATCCTCATTCCTGGTAAGTAAACATATACACGCTAAGACACGTTATTCTTTCAAACTTTTGTTAGAGGCATTGGTATTTACCACTCCGAATTGCCTTATTATAGACTTTGACTAGCATGTGTGTGACACTCTTTTTTCTAACGCAAAATTTTGTCCCGTGTAATTTTTTTCGGAAAGATTTTTTACTCAAGCACACGTCACTCATGTAAAATGTCATTAACCCTTTATTTTTATTTTTTTTAAAGGCATAGAGATAGGACTGGTGTTGTATGTATGTCTTTTATAGATTTTGTTCATGATAGGTTTTCAATAGCTTTCTGGGCTATGCTACATAATTTCTTATGATGTTTAAATAAATCAAATTGTATGGAAAACAGAGAGAAACGTAGAGCCACAAAACCGAAAATCCAAAATACAATTCCAACTCGACTGGCTAAACATGGCTACCTCCACATATGCATCTAGCCTTCTTCGTTAGCAAGTAATTAGAGACGAGAACATAACTTCCATAACAGTGAATCGTTCTTGTAACTTGTAAGTTTTTCTTTTTGGTACTAGATTTCCAATATTTTTTAATATTTAGAGGTTTGATGAGCAGTTTGTGAAGTACTTGAAGATGAGGCTGATGAGTTGGCTATATAGTGATTGATTTTCAAAGCAAAAGCAGCTTGGTGATGTCAGTGTGAGATTGTTGTATTTAAAAAAAAAAAAAAATGTTTTTGATGTGCTTTATGACACATCCTAAACCAGAAAGTTCACGTAGACATTTTCGTCAATTCACATTTTTAAGATTAATAAAGCTGTAAAATTAGGGACGGATTGTTACACTTTAAGAATAATTACTTGTAAAATAAAGCAATTGACGTTTGATAAACTATATTTTTAAAAGTGTTGTGAGTATAAAAAACAGTATAAAAGCGTTTGATAAATTTTAATATTAAAGTGATACAATTGTGTGTTGATAGGAGCATATTCATGCGACTTAAATGGCTTGTTCTCGTGCATTTACGTTATGTTTCTTTAGTTATTTTAGTACTTTAAGCTATTTTCGTGTGTTTGTAGGTCCAAAGGGCTAAAGGAGCAAAAAGATGCATTTTGGAAACTTTTGGAGCACTTTTGGGCTAAGGATGGATAGCTTATGCTTGGAGCCAAAGTGTTGGACGAAATTGAAGACCTAATTGAAGACCAAAGTGTTGGAACCTTGTTCCCTTTAGTTCTAGGGCATTTAAACCTTTCCTATATCCATTGCACATGCATTCCTTTAATCCACATGCATCTCCATAAATCATCCAACACACTTTCTCTCCCAAAAACCGTACACACCATTCACCCTAGATTCTAATCAGCCATTCACCAAAACCATTTCCCTTTGTGCCGTGCACATGCATACACACTTCATTTCAGCCACATGCAACCATTAAACATTCAATCATCTCACTCCACTTAATGCCGTGAGTTCCCATCAGATTTCCAACCTAATTCACATGCATTCCATCCTTTAATTCACCCTAATCATTCACATAGCTTTAATTCACATGCAAACACATTGCATTACCATTCACCACCAGAAAATCACCATCATTGCCGTGAGTTTCATACATTTTCCAGCCATTCCACATGCCATTGTCATTCCACTTCATTTCACCTTGCATTTTCAGATTATTCCTTCATCATTGCACCACACATGCAGCCATTCCACACACCAACCAACCTAGCTGTCATGTTTCCCCTTTCATCATTCCCTCACATTCTTTAATTCAGCCAACACATGCTTGCACATGCATTTCCAACCCACATGCATCCTTTAATCATTCAAACATGCAGCCACATTCCCTCCTAGCTGTCATGTTCCCCCCCCCCCCCATTTCGCCTATAAATAAGCATTCATTCCCACTCATTCTCATTCATTCTTCCATACACATTTCAGTCACAAACACCAACCATTCCCTTTGTGCCATGAGTCTCCCTACCAATCCAAACACCATCACTTCCAACACTTCACTCCATCACATATCCATTCATCCCTAATCCCCGGTCTAGAACGATCCCTACTTGCATCCTTACTACAATTTGACAACAAGAGGGTTTAATTTGTGTGCGTATAATTCTCGCATCAAATTTTGGCGCCGTTGCCGGGGATTAGCAACTTTGCTAATCCCTTGGATTGTTTTATTTTCGTTTGTTTTTATTTTATTCCAGATTCTTAATCTTTTTTTTGTTTCTTGTTCTAGGTACTAGTTTATGACTCGGAGTTCTCATCCGATTTGTGAACATATCCTGGAGTGATTGGGTTCTTCGTCCGGCTGCAAGACGTAAAAGAAAGCGCTACTTGGGAGGCAACCCAATGCACTGAATAAAACAAAGCATGTTCATTTATTTTCGAGAATTACAAGTGCGAAAAAAAAAAAAAAAAAAAAATAATGTATCTAACAAAGAAAGAGAAAGATGGAGCCTTCACAACGGTTGTTTTTGTTTGCGTGAAGACCCACCACGAGGCAAAACTCTAGAAGCGGAAGGCATCGGAGCAGGAGGCATCGGAGCAAGAGGCATCGGAGCGGGAGGCATCGGAGCAAGAGGCATCGGAGCGAGAGGCATAGGAGCGGAAGGCATCGGAGATAGAGCATTCCAGGCCCCAATACTTGGCGGAACGCTGGATGACCCAGGAAAAAGGTGCCCCTGGAAGAAAGACGCAAGCCTTTGACGGTCACTTTGCATTCGACCTTGAGATTCTTGCATCTCATCAAGCTTCCTCTTCATGCCCGACGAATAGTTATTTGCAAGCACATGCAAACTTCTATTCTCGTACTTAAGCTGTTTGATCTCCTGCTTAAGACTCTCCACCTCCGCCATCAATGATTCAACCTGACGGGAGCGAGCAAGAAGGCGTTGGCCCATGTTGGACACAGAGCCTGCGCACTGAACACTAAGAGCCAGGGACTCTTGAACGGCCAACTCATCGGACCGTCCTGAAAGCAGTTGACTATCTCTGGGAGTGAGGAGGTTCCGAGCTACTATCGTAACTGTTGTGGCGTCCTGCATCACGGAGTCTTCACCTGTAAGAGGACCGTTAGAAGATAAGAAAGAAGGGCGCCATACGTTACCTTGACGCGGCACGCCCGTATCACTGCGGAGACTCAATTCTAAGCTAAGGTTCGATGGGTTTGCCATTTTTCAAAAGTGTTCAACGAGAAGGGGTGGACGGAGTAAATTTTCAAAGGGCCGGAGACGAGTTTCAAGAATGGGAAATCTTCAGAGTGTGTAAGTTGGCGGTGATCGATAGCTCTATAAAAAGCCAAGGCAACGCGTCCACCGATTCAAAAAGCCGGAAGTTCATGCGTAAAGTTCGGCGACGCTCCCTCGGCTTTTCAGAAAACGCGTTCACTTTATCAAAAGATCTCTGACAAAGTGAAAACACATGGAGGCCATCATCGCAACTACACATCTTTAGCCGACAAACGCAAAGTTCGACGACGCTTTCTCTACTTTTCAGAAAACGCATGCAGCTTTGTCAAAAGAGCCACATCCGCACTACTACGTGTCGTTCAGAAAGCGAAGGGGCGTCGCTCAGAAATCGAAGGGGCGCCTGCTCAGAAATCGAAGAGGCGTCGTTCAGAAATCGAAGAGGCGTCACTATTTCAAAAAGCCGGATTTGCGGGATCAAAACGTTTGTCGACAAGGGTAAAAGAACAATACCACCACTTGCTATTAGGAAATCCCTATATATGTCGACCTTCATCTTTTATGGCAAGGCAAACCTGAAGAAAATGCCCAACTCTTTCTCACTTTTGAGGGCGCACTCCCAGCAAAGCCTTTCGAAATACTCAATTCTTTCTTCTTCCCCAAAGATGATACCAGATACCTGGAGTACAGATGACTCAGGAGGAAACAGCACAACAAATACATGTGCTGATTCATTCACCGCTTCTTCAAAAGCAAAGGTATCTCATATCATCAAGGTCAAAAGCAAAAGTATCTCATATCATGCTCTTTCCCTGTCTTTTCCTTTGTCTTTGTTATTACTCGCATAGCAAAGTAAAAGAAGCAATCATCCGGCACTTGGAGTCAGTCTTCCGACGGCCGGGAATCCCTTTCCTGATTGCTTACCTAGCGTTGCTCTCGAGTAGTCATCTTCAACGGTTGATACACTTCCAGAGAAGGGACCACTTCTGCAAAGGGGAGCAAGTAAGGCAAGTGAAAATGACACATTGAAGCATGTGGAGACAAGCAACAACTGCATATGCTGAGTTATCCTCTAACCCTCTTCAATACGAATTGGAGAGATTGAACAAAGAAACAGATAAAAGGAGGAAGCTCAGACCTTCGGGGGAGACCAAAGGAAGCCTGCTGCCCAGTTCAAGAGTAGCACAAAGGAAAATCAACGATGGGAGCAGCGCAGTTCAAGAGTAAGCCTGTGGAATCACAAAGATCCAAGCCTCAATGCAATTACCAAGGAGAAGATGGAATTTACACTCTATAACCAGATTTGCGTCTCTAAACTCTTCTCTTTGTTAACTACATTCTGCCATGTTTAGTGTGTTTAGTTGCTTTTTGTGTGTTTACTTATGTTTTGTGTGAATCTATGCTTAAAACATTGAGGACAATGTTTGATTTAAGTGTGGGGGGGGTAACTAAGTATATTTAATGCAAATTCGTGGGATTTTATCACCCATAACTTCAAATGTTGTTCCTTGCTGTTTTAAGGTGTTTTTAAGATGTTTTAGAGTGTTTTAATATGTTTTGTTTTTATAACTCCGAAAATCACATAAAAATTTGAAAAAAAAAATGTTTTGAAAAGCCTAAAAAGAGTGTTTTGAGAGATTTTTGTGTGTTTGTGTCTTAGGGTACCTTCCAACACAATGATAAGGATTTGGTTTGTA